GCGCCACCTGCCGGGCACCGGTACGCTCACCGCAGCCGCCCCGCCGTCCTTTCCCAGGCAGCGGGAGGTGTGGGTGGAGTGAGCGCCACACCTTTTGGCACCCTGTCAGGGGCGAGTTCCCGGGCCCATCCAGGAATTCTTAGTTCGTCCCATCGGTCCCTTCACGTTTTATGTGCTAGGCTGAGAGCTGGGCGCTGAGGACTTCAGCATGCATGAGACTGGGGCGCAGTACGGGTTTGTGAGACAAGAGAAGCAAACCAACAAGAGACAGCAGCACCTGCTGGACACCGGGCCAGTGTGCTCTGTGCTGTGAGGCGTGTCTGTTACAAGGACTGTGGAGTCAGTGGGGGAAGAGAAGACACTTGGAATGAATGCTGAAGGAGCAGCAAATCCCGGGGGGTATGGGTTTAGCCAGGAGAGTAGACTGTCATCTCCTGGGTCAGGCCAACCTGGGGCACCTGCTAGGAGGAGGGTTGGAGATGGTGTGTGGGTTCAGGTGAAGGGCTGCCCCAGGAAATGCAAAGATCATCGGCTTTGGAGTTAGGCAGCTGGGTTCTAATTCCAGCTGTGTGACCTTAGGACACTGCACTTTCCTGAGTTTCAGTTTCAACGTTTGTGATATGAGGCTAATGCCTACTTGACTGGATTGTTGGGAATATTTCAAGAAGAAATGTATATGGATGCTCGTAACATAGTGCTTGGCACTCAGTGTATCCTAAACGTACGTTCATTTTCTAAAAACTACAGAGGAGGCCGCTGCTGCTGGGAGCAGACACACTGGGAAGTAAGGACTACAAGCAGGAGGAACCTTTTTGTCTCTGGAAACCGACGTGCCAGCTTTTTTATTTCCTGGATCAAGCTACAGCCTGCTTTGTCTGGCCCTGCCCATCAAGGGAGCCCAAGGTTCACTGATTAAGGAAAAACACTAAAATTGGATTAGTTGGGAGGGATGGGGGGAAGAGGGAGATGCAGGAAGACAGCTAGAGGGTATAGAGTTTCTTGTTAAAAGGTGACGAACATCCTTTAAAGTGACTTTGATGATGGGAACATGGATCTGAATATACTAAAACCCATTGAATGTAACACTTTAAGTGGGTGAATTGGATGGTATGTGAATTATAACTCAATAAAGCTGTTATTAAAAAAAAGAATACTTCTTGCTGGACTACAATGTGAAAAATGAGTACAGCCCTAAAAAAAAAAAAAACTGGGTTGGTATCTCAAAGGGATTGAGTGAGGATTAAATGAAGTAGAAAATGCATGCCGAAGTGCTGAGCACCATTGTGGACAAGGAATAGGAGGTCTAAAAGTGCTAGTTTCCCCTTGGTCTCTTCCCGTCTTCATCCCATAGCAGCTGCCAAGAGAGCACGCCAGCAAGAGAAGGGCCAAAGTAAACAGAGAAGCTCTTTATGCCAAATCACAAAGACCACAGGGGGAATGTGGGGGAAGGGCAGAAAGGGCCTGGGAGGACCGCCCACCCCTCCTTTATTCACAGGTTTAGATGTTGTTCCATCTGCTCTCGAAGTTTGAATTTCTGGATCTAGAGGAAAGAAAAGGAGTGAGAACCAGGCTTGGGCGTCTGCCAGCTAGGGTGACCAAGCCCAGCTGGTTTGCCTGGAACTGAGGAGTTTCTCAGGCTAAAGGCAGGAAAGTTTGGGGCAAACCAGAATGCGCTGACTAGTTGGTTACCCGCCTGGCCTTCTCTGCACTTGGGGCCCCAGGACCCCCTGCCCCTCCCTGGTCTCCTGCACCTTACTCACCTTTCCTGAGACGGTGAGGGGGTAGTCTGTGACAAACACGATGTATCGGGGAATCTTGAAGTGGGAGATCTGCAGACCAGAGGGAGATAAAGCATGAGGCTGGGCGGGGTCCTAGGGTTAGGGGGAGAGGACAGTGGGCTGACTAGATGGCAGACAGAGGGTGTTGAAGAACCAAGCAACAGCAGTTTTGGGTGGGATGAGGCGCCCACCTTCCCTTTGCAGAAAGCCTTGATCTCCTCTGCCGTAGTCTCCTCCCCTTTCTTGAGCCGAATGCAGGCACAGATTTCCTCCCCCATCCGGTCATCCTTCACTCCCACCACCTTCCAGAATCAGAGACAGTTATCAGACATCCCCAACCACATCCGTGTTTCCTGCTTTTGGGGGCTCACCTGCGCTCACCTGGGTAGGGTGCCTCACCTGCACTTCCTGCACCTGTGGATGTGTGTGAAAGAAGTCCTCGAGCTCGGCCGGGTAGATGTTCTCACCGCCCCGGATGATCATATCCTTGGAGCGGCCCACGATCTTGCAGAAGCCCTGCTCGTCCATCGTGGCGATGTCTCTGCGAGGAAAGCCCAGGAACCGCCTCTCACCTCTGCCTCATCTGACTGGCTCGCTCACTCATTCACCAGACATTATGGAGCACCTACTATGTGTCCTGCACTGCTCTAGACTCTGGGGGACACAGCGTGAATGAGACATTCCCTGCTGTACAGTCTAATGAGGAGGCAGACAAAAACAAGTATACCTATAGCATATTTGCTCTCTCTCTTTCTCAATGTACCTATACACATGCTTTTCGTGGCTGGCTTCTTTCTTATTCAGGTTTCAGCTCAAACATTTCCATCTTAGAGAAGCCTTCTCTGACCACCCAATAAAGAGAAGCTCCCCTCCCGACCACAGCCAGTCTCTCTCCTATGACCTTATTTAATTTTCTTCGTGGTGTGTTTCAGTGTCTGAATTGGTCTTGTTTGTGTCTGTCTTCCTCCAGCAGACATGTGGGAAGTAAGAGCAGGATGCTTCCCATCGTGCTAGCCACTGCACCACCGGTGTCCAGAACAGTGCTGGCCCTTGGAAGTGCACAACAGGAATTTATGAGTGAATGAATGAGTGACTAAATCTTGGCTCCGATTTTGCAGACACTGTCTCTGGCACTCTCATCTGCACTGCATCTGGTCCTTCCCAGAGCCCTGTGCGGAGAGCATGATCATCCCCATTGTACACATTTTGGAAACTAAGTTCTCCACGATGTGAAGGGGCCATCTCCACAGACATGTTCTCCCTCTTCTAGTTTAATGTTCCCAGCTCAGCCTCAGGACCCCCGGCCTCCCCTCGGCAGCCAAAGTCTCTACCCCTCCCTGCCTTCTCACCCTGTCCGATACCACTTGTCCTGTCCGATTGCCTCATCGGTCTTCTGCGGCTCACCCCAGTAGCCCATCATGACGCAGTACCCTCGGATGCACAGCTCTCCAGGCGTGTTCAGCTCTGCCAGTGATCCCGTCTTCACGTTCACAATCTGGGCCTGGGACCAGGCAGCTTCAGGCTTGGGCCTCCCACCCTCCCACTTCAGGATGGGGGGCCCTAAGGAATGGGGGGAGTTTTGCCTTCCTTCCCCCTAGTAACGAGGCCCCCAGCTCTGCCCATCCCAATCCAGGGAAGGGAGACGAAGGTTGGAGTAGATCCACCACCAGTCAGACACCTGAGCGGGCCTTGAAAGAACAGCTGAGGCCCAGACCAGGAGAAAACTGTGGGCAGGAGCTGCTGCAGAGAAGGAGGCCTGCAGAGGGCCAGGCCAGCTGAAGAATTACAAACTGTGCAGAAGGAAAGGGAGTCTCCTCTTTCCATTAGGCAGCAAATAAAGAAGCCAAAAAGGGTGGCATGGCAGGGCCAAGTGAACAGGAGAGGTGGCAGAGAGGCAGAATCTAGTCAAGAAATGAGCCACAGCCAACGTGCACAGAAAGCTTAGCCTGCGTGCCTTGGTGTCTCCATCTGTGAAATGGGGAGAATTACACTTGCCCTGTCTACCTCACAGGTGGGCATCACAGTGAGTGGCAGTGAGGCTGTCAGACTCACTGTGATAGGAAGGGGCTAATGTCACTGCACACTCACTTCAGGGCGGGGGGGGCAGGAGAGATGTGAAACAGGATGGCAGTTAGCCCCAGGGGAAGGACACTGGCAGTGACCCCAGAAGGGCAAGGCCACAAGGGGGCAGGAGAAACAAGGTACTGGCTGGCATAAAGCACCAACGGTGGAGACTGGGAATTTGAGAGTGAAAGATGCTCCAGGTCAACCTTCAAAGTGCAAGGCACCCCCAAAGGGACAAGCTCCTTGGGAAATTGTTTACACCAAGCCCAAAAGAGGAGCTCTGCCAAAGTGTGAGAGGTGGGGAGGGCAGGGCTGGGGGAGAGAAAGCTGTGGAGGAAAAAATCTCTGTGCTCTGGCTCCTCTCTGAGGCTGTTCTGGCTGCCCCAAAACAGACAGTGGGCTTGGCAAAAACACACCTCAGACAGGAAGGGAGGCTGTGGAGAAGTTCAGCTGGCGGCTGCTCATGGCCACTGTTTCAGCTCTGTCCTGCGCAGGCCTCAGCCCACAGAGAGAGC